ACCGACTCCACAGCACATAACAACAGCAATACCAGTAAAGATGTCCAGCCTCGGATACCCTATGGAGCAATTCTACTCTGTCTTATAAGGTAGTAAGGAGTCAGCATTGAATCCGTGTCAGGGAGCTTTTGGTTCTGCAAGTGGCTCAGAGTCATGGTAAGCCCATGCATAATGGAAGAAAATTGCCCAGACCTGCACCATCCCCAGGATAGGTTATAGATCAGCCAGTTGTGATCCAGAGAGTTTTTGTCGCCTGAATTTTGGAAAGGTAGGTCTTTATTCTTTCTGGAACCTCCACTGAAATCTGTTTAGCAACATACAAGTCTGTGCTGTGGCTGCAAGTGAATGAAGCACAGAGGCTGAGGATTGAAGCTGGCCTCCGTGAGGAAAGACTTCTATCTGGAACCACTACTCTCTCATTACATGTCTAGAGACAAGAATTATTCGGTACCACTGCCGGGTGCATACAATTTAGACTTGTTAAATGGCTTTCCTAAAATCATGTGACTCAGAACGCTGGATTATACACAATGCCATCTTTTCTATGGAAGCAAAACTGTTTCCTAAATAGATCAGGGACCGTCTTAGTTACGGTTGTAGTCCCCAAACTGGGGATGTGGTGGATGTTTCTAAATACTCACCAAATGACTAAGTATGACGTTTTCACTCTGTGTCAGACATCGAGCTAGCCCTTTCATATGTTGTTGGTTCCAACTCACAGTGACGCTGTATAGGGTTTCCAAGGAGCAGATGGTGGATTTGAACTGTCAACCTTGAGATTAGCAGTCCTACAGCACTATATTTAATCCTACAGCACCACATTTAATCTACTCAATAAACCTTTAAGATAAATATTATTTTCATTTAATTAACTAGAAACAAAGGTTGAGACGTTAACTGATGTCACATTCTTCCTTGTCCTCTCCATCTCCAACTTTCTACGTGTAATGGCAGCGTGCTGCTGGCTGCAGATGGAGAGGACAATGAAGAATTTGATCCAGCCTCTGTCTCGTGCCTGGCTGTTTATGATTTTAATCTGCCATCAGTGTTCCATCTGCCCCCAAGTCCAGGGACATTGGTATAACATGCTTCCTTGACGAGCACAATATTGGAGAACCTTACTTAAAATAAAGGAGTCCTAGTGTGGCACTGCAGGTTAATGCACTGGACTGCAAGGGTGGCTTGAATCACAAAATCGGCAGTTCAAGCTTACCAGCCGCTCCTCAGAAACCCTATACAGGGTCTCTAGGAGTTGGAACCGACTCAAAGGCACTTAACAACACAATTTAAAAAGGAATGCACAGCACTGGGGAGAAACTAAGTGTAAATACCAGACACATAAGCAGTCAACAGTGCAGCCTTGCAGATTAGAAGGATGTGCTCCTTGCCTAATGTAAAGACAGATGAATTCCACATTGCTTATGTGTACTGTTTTGTTTGCACAGAATCAGATCAGCACGTAGGGAAACAGCAGTCACTAATGTTTACTGGCTGCTCACTATGTCTGTGAGTTCCTTTCACAGCAACACCACGAGGTACATACTACCACTGTTCTATCATCTTTTTCGCAGGTGAAGAAGTTGAAGTGCATTGAGCACTCCTCACCTCCATCACACAGCTAAACTGCAGCTTTGGGCTTCACCTCAAACCTCATCACACCCACCAGCCTGTCTTTCCTCTAAACCACATTCCTGTCTGCATGGCTACTTGAGATTTGCTATGTAATTACTTGACTTGGATTTTTACAAATTCCTTTGCTCTGTTTATCACAGCCTCCAAAGACAACAGGATGCCCGCAGTCTCTGGCATCGAAGTCTGGTTAACTGCAGACTGGCTACTTGGAAGCTGTTTTCTGGTCATTTGGCACTTGTGAATGTTTAGGTATTTTATAGTCACTCTTCTAAGGAGCCTTAGTAGTGTACTGGATTTGAGCTGGATGGCTAACCACAAGGTCCGCAGTTCCAGTCTATCAGTCACTCCTCGGGACAAGGATGAGGCTTTCTACCCCATTAAGATTTATAGCCTCAAACCCCCTATACAGGGTCACTATGAGCTAGAACCGACTCGGTGGCACACAGTCAGCACAATTAAATAAGCAGGGATCAGAGAACAGGGGAAGAGGGGGATCCTTTGAAGTCTCAAATACGTAAATGTCAAAAAGACGTGCACCAAATCATGTGGTTAATCTGAAATTCTTCCCACAGTTCCCTAAATTGCCAAATATTTCCCTACGTTCTTTTCTTGCCAGAAAATAGGCTACCCTTAGAATGAGTTGTTGTTAGTGCCGTCCAGTCAGTTATGTAGGGTTTCCGAGGAGCAGCTGATGAATTTGAACTGCTGACTTTGCGGTTCAAACCAACATTGAGGTCCAGTGTATTATCCCACATTGCCACACCAGAACTTCATAGAATGAATAGTTATGTGGTTTTGGATTCTCTAAATGAATCTTGACATGAATAGGAACGCAACGCTGGCCATGTGTTGCTGTTGTTAATTGCCCTCAAGTCGGTTCCATCTCATAGCAACTCTCTATAGGGTTTCCGAGGAGCAGCTGATAGGTTTAAACCACTGGCCTTGCAGTTCAAACTGGCTTTGTGATCTAGTGCCTATCCTATAGTGCCACACAAGGCCTCTGTATGCTGGCATGCAGAAGCTGTAAATAAATTATTTAACTTAGCAGTTTACATATGTGAGTTTTTTAAATCCTCACATCTCTCTGAGATAGGTACTATTATGAATGGAGTCCTGGTGTTTCACTGGAGGAGAAGCACTGGACGGTTAACCTCAAGACTGGCCATTCAAACCCATTAGCTGCTCCTTGGGAACCCTATGCAGGACAGCTGTCAGTCAGATGGCACTTAACAACAGCGACAATTTGGTGATGAAGAAGGAAGGTTTAATGATTACTCCAGGTTAAGTACCCTCCCTGCCCAAGGTTGCAAGAAGAGTGTAATTTTTGATTTCCAAATGCCAGAGTGTTTCACTGAGACCGAGTGTGCCACCCAGAGCAAGATGACAGCTGTTCAAAACACATGTCATTCCCATTTCCTCATGTCACTTAGCCAAACACCTTCGGAAGTGGCATCATTAATTCCCAAAGCACTGGAGTGTGAGGTCTTTCTTTCTGAGAGGGGTGTCTCTCATCCTCTGCAAATCCTATGACTGCTTGGCCCTCCCCTCAATGGTGCCATTGGATCCCCACCCCTACGGAAAATAATACTTCTTTTAAATGAGACCTTATAAAGACGGCTTTGTCAATACTGTGGTCAGATACTAAGAAACATTAAGCAATCATTGGAGTCCTGGTGTGACACTGTAGGATAAGTACTGGACTTCTCACCATAAGGTCAGAGGTACAAACCCATTAGCTACACCTTGGAAACCCCATACGGGGTCACTGGGAGTCAGAACTGACTTGACACTTCACAACAACAACAACAAACACCATTCCCTAGTGAGGACAACAGTATTCCGGCAAGTGGTCATTCACTAACTGATTACTTCTAGGGTGGGATACCAAATCCTCTGGGGACTTTTCTAATATTATTAAGTGAAAGATGAAGAAATGAAATCAAGGCATTTGGAATTTTTATTGCTTTCAGCATTTGAAGAATTTCATCCAAATTCAACCTCAAGTTAAGAAGTGAGGGACGAGTGTAAAGAACCATTCTTCTATTTCAGTTACAAAGATTTTACTCCCGTGTTTGTTAATTCAGCATGAGCAACACCGGGTGTGTTCCATATATATTTAGATATCATAAAGTTAGTCTCTGGAATCTATAATAATCCAGCTCAGCATTTTTTAAACATTATTGAGTGCTGCAACCCGTCTCGTTAAGTCTACTATATGATCTGGTCATGTAAAACCGGCACAAAGGGCCCTGCAAGCGATGAAGAGCCCACCTCTACCCACAGCACCTCTTGCCCTGCTGGTAGCTTCTGGTGCATCCATGGCTCCACGGGACCACTGATCAAGTCCTGATCTAGGGAAGGAAGACATTTGCAGCAGCTCTCACAGCTATAGAGTAAGAACAGAGCCACCAAAGGAAAGACTTGATGCTTAGAACGTCCCTTTCTGAGGGAATAGTAGTGAATGGAACAATGAAAGGGGTTAGCGTTGGTCCTCTCTCCTCCAAAGAACAAGACAGAAAGTGTGAGTGTGGCACAACTCAGTGCTTAGAGTGCCAAGCATGTCACATCCCCACTCAGAAACCGAAGGATCTGGGCTAGAATTAGGGCTTCCCTGCCTTTTTGTTTTTCCTGGGACTATACAGTTCCTTCTTTGATAGCAGAGACTGTGAAGGAGGAGGAAGGGAAGAGGAATGCCCACCCATGGGCAGACTCTCAGGGCAAGAGGACCAGAGACGTCTAGAAAAGACCCCTTACTCTTCTGGGCTTCCCTAGCAGGCGTAGTCCTTCTATCTCTACTACTCCACCCCCTAACTGAGTCATATTTTATGCTTCCAGGTGCTTTGTGACCTTCACAATCTAATACTCAAATACTCTTGACCTAAATGAAGTCTTCATTTGTGCCCAGAGGGTATTCATCTCAGGGGTAGTGAGTTTGTGCTATTTTATTTCATTTTAGAGGATGAGGCATGTGATTCTATTTTCTTATTTAGAAGATTCTTTTCTAAAATTCTATTCCTACTAAGAAAATCCCCTTTACAACTCCTGGAACCAAGTTACTGTGAAAGGCTTCCTCCATTCCTTTTCTCTAGTGTTGGTATGCTCTTACTTTCTCTAGAACTCACCAAACACTTATCCTGATTCCCATCCACTTTTATAGTTGACTGAAAATATCCATAGTTCCCTAATAACCACATATGCTTGTTAAGTAGCAAAGCTTACAGAGATCTGGAATTCATCACCCTTTTAAAGTAAACCCATGCCAGAAAACTTCAGCAGGAAGATGTAATTTCATCATAAGGGTGTGGGAAAGGCCATGAGGATGGGGAGAGGGAAGAGAAGGGAAATATTTTGGATACTGCATACTTTACCAGTTATGTCATGCTGTTTGAATGACTCACTGTAGATTTGATACTGATTTGGACAATGTTTCTTTAACCACTTGCAGACATCCTGCTGGGTCCAGAGAGCAACTGGCTTTGACAGCTTCACCGTAGCAGACTACAAATAAAGAAGAAAAAGGAGATTGGTTACTTCCAGCCCTATTCCTAAAAAGGTGCTACTGTTAAAAGTCCTTGTTGTTGTTAGGGGCCATCGAGTCGGTACCAACTCATAGTGACCCTATGCACAACAGAACGAAACACTGCCCGATTCTGGGCCAGCCTCACTATTGTTGCCACGCTTGAGCCCACTGATGCTGCCACTTTGCTAATCCATTTCTCTGGGGGTTTTCCTCTTTTTCTCTGACCCTCCACCTTACCAAATTTGATATCCTTCTCCAGTGACTGGTCCCTCCTGACAATCTGTCTGAAGTATGAAAGACAAAGTTTGGTCTTCCTGGCCTCCAAGGAGCACTCTGGCTGTACTTATTCCAACACAGATCTGTTGGTTCTATGGGCAGCCCATAGCACTTTCAATAGTCTCCTCCAACACCATAACTCAAAAGCATCAATTCTTCTATGGTCTTGCTTATTCACTGTCCAGCTTTCACATGCATATGAGGTTATTGAAAATACCAGGACTTGGGTCAGGCACACCTTAGTCCTCAAGCTGACATCTTTGCTCTTCAACACTTTAAAAAGGTCTTGTGCAACAGATTTACCTAATGCAATATGTCATATAATTTCTTGACTGCTGCTTCCATGAGTGTTGATAGTTGATCCAAGAGGAATGAAGTTCTTGACAGCTTCAATCTTTTCTCCACTGATAAGAATGTTGTTTATTGGTCCAGTGGTGAGGATTTTCGTTTTCTTGACATTGAGATGCAATCCATACCGAAGGCTGTGCTCTTTGATCTTCATCAGTAAATATTTAAAGTCCTCTTAACTTCCAGCAAGCAAGGTTGTATCATCTGCATATCGCAGGTTGTTAATGAGTCTTCCTCCAATCCTGATGCCACGGTTTTCTTCATAGAACCCAGCTTCTTGGATGATTTGCTCAGCATACAGGTTGAATAAATATGGTGAAAGAATACAACCCTGTAGCACACCTTTCTTAATTTGAAACCATTCAGTGTTCCCATGTTCTGTGTTGTTGTTAGGTGCCATTAAGTCAGTTCCAACTCAGCGACCCTAAGTACAAAACAAAACCCTGCCTGGTACTGTGTCATCCCACAATCTTTGAGACCATTGTTGCAGCCACTGCTGATATCAGTCCTCTCATTGAGAGTCTTCCTCTTTCAGCGGACCTACTACTTTACCAAGCCCGATGTCCTTCTCCAGAGATGGGTTCCTCCTGATAAGCTTGTCATGTTCCAAAGTACATGACAAGAAGTCTCATCATCTTACTTTTAAGGGGCACCTTAACTCTACTTTTTCCATGATAAACGTGGTCATTCTTCTGGAAGTCCATGTTATATTCAGTATACTTGCCCATGCCACAATTGAATATTGAATATAGTCTATGTTCTTTGCCCATATCATAATTCAGTTCTTCTTCAGTCTTCCTTATTCATGGTCCAGCTTTTGCATGCAGATGAATTGAGGCTTGGGTCTGGTGCACCTTAGCCTTCAAGGTACCATCTATGCTTGTTCACACTTTTCAAAGATCTTTTGCAGTGGATTTACCTAATGCAATACATCATTTGATTTCCTGACTGCTGCTTCCATGGACACTGACTGGGAATCCAAGTACAATGAAGTTATTGACAACCTCCATATTTTCTCATGATGTCCGTTATTGCTCTAGGTTTGAGGGTTTTTGCTTTCTTTATGTTTAGGTGTAATCTACGCAGAAGGCTTTGATCCAATCCCGATTTCACAGTCTTCTTCATATAGTCCAGCTTCTCTGATTATTTGCTCAGCATACAGTCTATGTAAGTATGGTGAAAAGATGCATACCTTTGCTGATTCTGAACCATGCAATACCTCTTTGTTCTATTGGAATAGCTGACTCTTTTTTGATGTACATGTGAAATGTGAACATAATGAAGCATTCTGGGATTTTTATTCTTTACAGTGTTAGCTAGAGTTTATTATGATCCACACAGTCAAATGTCTCTGCATCAGTAAGATACAGGTAAATACATTTCTGGTATTCTCTGCTTTCAGCCAAGATCCATTATCAGACCCTTCTTTCTCATCTGGATGCTCTACTGACACCTGTCTACCATGAGTGACCCTGCTGGTATTAAAAATGCTGGCGGTATAACTTCCAGTGTCATACTTTAAAGAGGTCTTTTGCAGCAGATTTGCCTAATCACAGACACATGCAAGCTACCACAGAATGACAAACTGATGGATGAATGGTGGTTCAAAGTTCTAGAGTGTGCAAAAGGCCACAGGCTGGAATCCCTGAAGATAATTATCTCACCGTGTTCTCCTCTTCACCTCTGTGGATTCTGGAGTGCCACTTAAAACCAGAATGGGAAAAGTGCAGGTGAAGACCATGACCACTACAATGACAATGCATTCTCATCTCTAATTAGGAAGAAACCCTAGGAAACAGCAGCTTCTGGTGAGTACTCTAACAAGACAATAGGGCTGTGAACCAACTAATTAGGATTTAAGGGGGAAATTGATGACTAGAATTTACTTGATATTTCAAGGTGTTCACCATTTCCAGTGTCCCCTGACATTTCTCGGGAGCCAATAACTGCTTTAGGAATGAATGCTGTGACATGTAAACACAAGTTGCCTTGGGGCCTTGCGCTTTAGACAGGTCTGTGCAGCCAAGGGGCACTCGTTAAACACAGGAAGGGAGAACAAGTCAATTCAGCCGGAATCTGGAGGTAATACCATAATGGCAGGGCTAGTATATATGTTGGAGTCCTAGGCTCAGATGCTTAACGGAAAGCTTGGAGGCTTGAGTTGACCCAAAGACCCCTCAGAAGAAAGGTCTGGTGACCTACTTATGAAAAATCAGCCACTGAAAACCCTACGGAGCATGTCTCTACATTGACACATGGGTCACCAAGAAGTAGAGTCAACTCTAGAGCAACTGCTTAGGCTTTATGTACGAGTCACCTTACTGTTCACTAGGTCTCTCAATGAGGTGGCTTTACGGGGGGGTTGAGGCAGTATAGAACATACAGGTATGAATCTGGACAAATGTCAAAGGTTAGAAATACATCAATAAGCATCAACTCCGTGTCTCATAGTTGCTGGTCTCCCTTAGGGATCCAAGGAACTTGGTTTAGGCTAGATGAAAGATAAACTATCAATAATATTTGTCATTCTGGCTCAGTGCTTGGTAAAATGTCAGGTTATAATGTTGACAGTTCTTTAAAAGATCTTGGCACACAACCTGACTGTAAATATCACTGTTCTCCTCATTCATGATCACTGTCCTCCTCATTCCTCTTTCTACCTCTCAGCCTGACAGGAGAGTTTCCATTTGGTGGAAGTGTGTCTTTAGTCCTTAACATCTGCTACCTGTCTTTTTGAAAGATGGAGGGCTTGCTGCAGACTCAGAACCTTCAAGAGAAAATAGCGTGGGACTATTGGATCAGACTGGACAGCTAACTACAAGGCCAGTGGTTCAGACCCACTAGTTGCTCCTCAGAAACCCTACACAGGGTCACTATGAGTCAGAAATAGTATAGATATTTAAAAGGTGGCACAGTGTTTAAGCGCTCAGTTGCTAACTGAAAGGGTCCAGGGGTCAAACCCACCAGTTGCTTCCTGGGAGAAAAATGTGGCAGTCTACTCTTGTAAGAAGGAGTCCTGGTGTGGTGCTGTGGGTTAAAGTACTGGACTGCAAGGTCAGTTTTGAATTGCAAGGTTGGCGGTTCAAGTTCACCAGCTGCTCCTTGGACATCCTATACAGGATTGCTATGGGCTGGAACCGACTTGAAGGTACTTAACAACAACTCTTGTAAAGATTACAGCCTTGGAAAGAAACTCTATAAGGCAGTTCTACATTCTCCTATACGTATGTACGTGTATAAGCTTTCTGTTCTGTGTGAGTGGCATTTCTTTACTGATCGGGTGTTTCTGTCCCTTCTCCTTGAAGTCTGTCACTTTGTTGCACTGTGGTAGCTTCCATGTTGCTGTGATGCTGGAAGTAATGCCGTTGGTATTTCAAGTGCCAGAGGGTCACTTGTGGTAGACAGGTGGAGCTTCCAGACTAAGACTAGGAAGAAGGGACTGACAATCTACTTCTAAAATAATTGGTCAGTGAAAACCTGATGAATCCCAGTAGAATCCTGTCTGCTATAGTACCAGAAGATGAGCCCCTTACTCAAAATACGACTAGGGAGGAACTGCCTCCTGAAAGTGGAGTCGACCTTACTGATGTGAATGGAGTAAAACTTTTAAGTCTTCATTTGTTGATGCGGCACAACTCAAAATGAGAAGAGACAGTTACAAACAGCCATTAATAACTGGGACATGGAATGAATGTGCCACGTATGAATCTAGGAAAACTGGAAGTGGTTAAAAACGAAATGAAAACAAATTTGCTATACAAACTTTTACCCAAACCACAATAAAATGTTCAAAAAATTATATATTCAACACCATATTTTACTGTAAAAAGAGAACAGACAGTGGGCTATGCATGCATACTGTGCTGTAGGTAAAAACTCTTTTTTTGAGTATATGAGTTTAGGGTGTAGTTTGTTGGTTTAAAAAGAAAATCTGTTTCTAACTTGTATTAAGTTCATGACCTTTTAAAAAGCCCTATCTTCCTATAGTCATTCTGGGAAAGATCAGATTCCTTATCTTATGGTGACACTCTGTGTGTAGCTTCCCACTACTGTCCAGTCAGTTCTGACTCAGTGTGACCTGACAGGACAGAGAACTGCTCCATAGGATTTCTGAGACTGTAGTTGTTGAGACTGTGTATGTATAACCACAGTCCTCATAGGGTTAGGCTTAGGGACATGGTTTCATAGGACAGCCCAGTTAAATGGCCTAATATAACATGTTTAGCGCTTCTGTTCTCCCTCCTAGTTCATTGTGTAGTGCCTGGGACCTTAAAAGCTTATAAGCAGACATCCTCAGAACAAAAACTGGTCTCTATTTGTCTGAAACAACAAAGGACGAAGGAGCATCAGCAAT